CGCATGCCAAACATTCGCAGATTGCAGCTCAAGGTGTTCAGAAGACTCTGCATTTTGTCAGCGTCCTCACCTAGAAGGACTATATCGTCTGCATATTCTAAGTCAACGAGATTATTCCCTGGTAGCAAGTCGATCCCTGAGTCTCTGAAGTGAGTTAGGGTTAAGTCCATTAGTACATCTATGATGAAATTAAATAGAAATGGGGATAGTGGGCATCCCTGATGGACACCACTAGTCGTCACCACTTCAGATGAAAACTCGCCGTAAGCCCTCACCTGGCTGCATGAGTACGAGTAGAGTGCCTTGATCAGTGCAATGTATTTTCTCGGTATTCCTTTCACAGCCAAGCATCACCAGAGTACCTCTCGGTCGACAGAATCGAATGCCGCCTTTAGGTCAAGAAATATAATGATTGTTGGACGCCGGTAAGAATGCCTATGTTCTAGAATCTGTCGAAGGGTGAAGATATGATCAATAAACTTTGTGAAGTACGCTGATGATTTAACAGTTTCAATGGCTGTTAACTCCCAGCTAGATTGTAGCAAAATAAATAGCTTACTGTCGGGAGTCAGTAAATGGTCTGAGTTTAACGGTCTTAAACTGAATCCTTCTAAATGTTACACTGTTAATTTCAGCTTAAGATGTAAAAGACAGTTAAAAGAAGCCGTCGATTCTCGTGAGTTGTAAGATTGACGACAATGGTATAGGAATTTAATCAGAAATTGAGTATCTTGGACTCGGGTATAACTCAACCCCTCCTCTTACAGTTCATAAACTCTTGCATCCTACCTATACTTCTTTATTCTTCACCCTTATTCTTTCCTGGTTTGCTTAAAAAGGACTTTGTCACAATTCGTAGAATGCTGAAGGTTAATAGGGTGAGTGGTATCCCACAAGCACCACATAGTTAACGTCGTTGTCGATATGCACTTGACTTCGTGCAATAAATTTGCTAAACGAATTTTGTCTGACTTGCAGCATCCACTTTACCCTCAGCTTTCACCTTGCATCTCCTCAGGCAGAACAAGAAGTGACTTCAGGAAACTGTATGCTCGCACATCTAAGTATAAAAATTCTATGATACCATACTTGGCACGTATTTTATGTGATGAAAATAGCGTCAGGCAAGAATTGACTAACCTTTTTTCATCTAGTAAATAAACAATTTCCTCCATCCATCTTTATATACCTTCAAGTTTTACTTTTATTATTTCTATTATATTTATGGTCCTGTTGCTTCTTTGTTTTAATTTCATAATTGCAAACACCAACTTATCTCTATGACTGCTGTAATCTTTGTTTTTTCCCCTCACCATACCATGTAATGAGAACATTATATTCAATATTTTTAAACATGCTAGGATTTCTATATCGCATTGACAATAGTGTGAAACAAGCTCACGGAAATTTTCACTTGTATCATTATTATTACCTTAGCTGTTATCATTATTTCCATTTTATATGCTGCATTACCCGTATTGTAAATGTAGAAAAATTTTCTGTGTGACTAATTTTTATTTATAATTTGAGTAAATTAGATGCAATATTGTGATTAATGCTTAAAATTCCATTCTGTATCACAAGTACTGTTTTTTGGAATAAAGTAATATTATTATTATTATTATTATTATAGTCTTGACAACCTCAACCAGCCTCCAGTTTACACTTCTACTACCTAGGTGTGTGACTCAAACCAACTTTCAAAGACTTCAAGGATTGATCTCAGATTTCGACTTGACCACCGCCCCTAACTCTTTCCAAACCATTCAACCTTATGTCAGATGGCACTGTTCGTCAGGGAAGGCGGTGGCTCGGAATGTGCAACACATGTAGTAGTAAGTCATCTCAACCGATATAGCTCTTCGACGACATTGATTGACTTCTCTTCCTTACCCAGTACCCTACGCCTAACCCTAATATTGCTCACCATATTATGCCAATGAACACAAGAGATAGGACACGTATACTAGTACATCATATGTAAAGAAACACAATCTAATTCATGGAAGCATCGATGGCTATCGATACTCCCTGAAGACCCTCGATAACAGTAAGTTATCACTACAAATTAAAAGGAATTCACCTCTTTTACTAACCTAGGCAGTCTGAGAGGTACGTATGAAGATGTCAACGTCAAATGATCGCAAAGGCACAAGATAGACCTTCACTAACCTGAGATGATCGGTGAGGAAATCTAACGGCACTAAGCATAAGGTTAAAGATTCGGATTTTCAACGTGGATGTTAAGTCAGCTAGTAATTCTTCATATCGTTCAGACATTCGATGTGTTAAAAAAAGCATTTCGACTTTTATCAATAGCTGTCACTACAATGAAGATCAGATGGCTAGTCAGCCGGCCGGCCAAAGAGGATTGACAACAATGCACCAAAAGGCGAAAATCTATCTAGTCAACAAATATGCAGAACTTCAATAGTTGGTTTGTAAGAATTACATTTGTTTCGACGAACTGATCACGGATTGATATCAGTTAGAGAAGCATTGGAAACCAGCAATGGAGTACTGGACAGCTGTTTCATCACTAGTTTGGGAATCATCGTCAGTACGTACCCACCACTGGGGTTCGAACCCAGGACTTTCCGGTTACAAGGCAAGCTGGCTCGTATACCATTCAGCCACTGGGACCCGTCCGATTTAATGGCCAGTGCATGAATTCTAACTTCTACCAATTCGTGATTTTTAGCGCGACCACCAACCAGTGTCATCGGCGGAAAATCCATCCTCACACACTTGATTGGATGACCTACTGGTCAACACCTCACTAGAACTCCAGTAGACTCCGTCCTGTAGCAAGTCACTAGCGAGCATCAGATTAAATTTCAATAGTTGGTTTGTAAGGATTAGGTTTGGATGATTTGGGTTGATCTCTGACGAATTCTCAGTACGGATACAGAGGGCTAGTTTCGCATATACCTGTTTACGCCGTCTCTGGCGTAGACGTGATATCCGTCTGGCTGTCGACCAAAGGGCGTGTGTACTGCTCATCAGTCCGCTCCGTCCTCCTTTATGGCTGTGAGACCTGGCCATTGAGAGTGGAAGACATGAAAAGATTAGCTGTCTTCGATCATAGGTGTCTGCGTTCTATCTCCCGTGTGAAGTGGTATAATAAGGTGAGCAATATTGAGGTTAGGCGTCGAGTGCTAGGTAGGTGGGAGGGGAAATCAATCGACGAGGCTGTGAAGTTACACCGATTGAGATGGTTAGGACATGTGTTACGTATGCCTAGTCATCGATGCCTTCCTCGACAATGGGCAATGTTAGCTGATATAGGGTCAGGCTGGAAAAGAGTTAGCATGGTGGTGAAACCAAAACATGGCACCAGTCAATGAAATCCACAACAGTTAGTTTAAGCCACACGTAGGAAGGTGTAGACTTCCTGGTTGGGGTCCTCAGGACGGTGAAAACCAATGGTGGGTGGAAACAATTGGTGATATGGCTCAAAATCGTTCTCAATGGCTGGTGCAGATGCATTCACTCCTTGTGACTTATAATATCCAATAAAACTGTTTTGTTCTTCGTTATTACTATTCCTTTGTCTCACACCTCTGTTTACTGTCTCTATTATGCATTTCTTTTTACTTTCTTCTCTTGCTTTGTGTGCTACATGGGGGAGTGTGGCGACTTGAACTACTGCACATCGGTGCAAAGTTCTATGTCGAAAACACAGACAGACAGACATGTCGTTCAACGCCTCCCTCAGTAGTGTCATGTGTCCTCGATCCATCTTCATTTTCTTCTGCATATTTTGACGAGTTGATCACGGATTGATATCATCAGTTAGAGAACCATTGAAAACCAACAGTGGAGTACTGGACAGCTGTTTCATCCAAACCTGTCTGTTTTCGACTTATAACTTTGCACCGATGTGCACGAGTTCAAGTCGCCACACTCCCCCGTGTAGCACACAAAGCAAGAGAAGAAAGTAGAAGAAATGCATATTAGAGACAGTAAACAGAGGTGTGAGACAAAAGAATAGTAATAACGAAGAACAATATAGTTTCATTGGAAATCATAAATCACAAGGAGTGGATGCATCTGCACCAGCCATTGAGAACGATGTCACCAATTGTTTCCAACCATTGGTTTTTACCGTCCCGAGGACCTCAACCAGAGTGGAAGTCTACACCTTCCCACGTGACTGGCTTAAACTAACTGTTGTGGATTTCATTGACTGGTGCCATGTTTCGGTTTGATCGCCGCTAGCTCTTTTCCAGCCTGATCCATCTATGTCAGTAGCTAACATTGCCCGTCGTAGGAAGGCAGATGACTAGGCATACGTAACACATGTCCTAACCATCTCAATCGATGTAATTTCACAGCCTCGTCAATTGATTTCCCCTCCCACCTACCTAGCACTCGACGCCTAACCTCAATATTGCTCACCTTATTATACCACTTAACACAGGAGATAGAACGCAGACACCTATGATCGAAGACAGCTAGTCTTTTCATGTCTTCCACTCTCAATGGCCAGGTCTCACAGCCATCAAGGAGGACGGAGCGGACTGATGAGCAGTACACATGCCCTTTGGTCGACAGCCAGTCGGATACGCCAGAGACGGCGTAAACTGGCATATGCGAAACTAGCTTTCTGTATCCGTGCTGAGATTTCTTCAGAGATCAACCCGTTGGGGCTGATGGTACTTCCGAAATAAGTGAAGCGGTCAACGTGCTCTACCACTTCACTCCCTATTTCTAATCTAGGAGTCGGTGTAGTCCAATCCTGTAACATGTTGAACGACATCAACACGCGCAAGGCAGGTGTCTTCGAGAGGTAACCTCACTCCACTTCACCCCTAATAGGAAACCACGAGTTAGGCGTAAACTTCAAGGCTGACACAATATGGAGGAGATGACGAGAGAATATAGTCAGTACGCAAGTGGCCAGCTAAAGGGGACTACAGAAAACAGGATGGAAATACATCGAAATGTGCTCCACTCGGAACCTAGGGAATAATAATAATGATATTTAAAAAACCAATCAATAATCGAATGTTTATTATCTCAATAAAAACTAAACGAATGATGGCAATATATACATACACGACACACACGCATGAAAAAGACTATAACACGATAATGATAATAATAATAATAATAATGGCGTTCCACACGGACTTCTCTTAACAAACGATATTTATTATACACAGAGTATGTAGTATGTTTGTAGAGATAGGAGGAAATAATTTATACAACCAAAATGAGATCAAGACGGATGACGGGGAGTGGGGGAGGAAAGGAGAGAGGAAAATAAGATACAAAACAGAAATATGTATACATTTATATCAAAAGTATATATATATTGTACTTTGTTTGTGCCAATCGCATTTACGAGGTTTCAGCTCCACTGTCATCATTTCCGCCATCATTATCATCTGTATCTACACAACTGGAATGACTGTCTTCCTCGTCACTTAATCGTTCCCAATAATCGGACGGGACATCGAAAGCTAACTGGGTACGTCTACATGCAGCATTAGGTTCATTATCATTATCATCTTTATTTTGTTGTTGTTGTGTTTATCGTCTTTATGAGTAGTACTCGAAGAGATGGATAATTTACCTTTGCCATCTTTTTCCCCTTCGACGACTCCTTCTCCTTTTCCTTTTCCACCTTCTTCTTCTTCGCCAGATGAAGAACTACCGCCAAGATATTCCTCCCAATTCTGTAAACGACTAGCCTCTTTATCTTTCGATTCGAATACATTATAATTGGTTCTACCATCCCAACGTTCCGCTTCCAGTTGTCTAGCACCTCCAGTGCCAGGATAATCGAACAGAGCTTTAGCCAGGAATTGTATACCTGTGTCAGCTTCTTCAGGTGTGGAGAAGGTAACACTGACAACACCTTCTGGATGTGCCTACATATGTATATATATAAAAAATGTGATTTAAAAATAATGCGAATAATTAACACATCTAAAAATGCTTCTTTTGTTTAATTCAATTTCAGATTTTCCCGTCCATTTATTGGACATGTAATTAGAAGTTAATTGGTGGACGGTGACTAGCAGTGAAATCCAGCATAACGCGCATTTCGTCCTATTTGGGACTCGTCAACTGGATGTACCTGCATTTCACAGTGAGTAATGATGTTCCCACCGACTATGGGCACTGGGTTCGAGCCTCAGTGGGAACATCATCACTCACTGCGGAATGCAGGTACATCCAGTTGACGAGTCCCAAATAGGACGAAATGCGCGTTAGCCTGGATTCCACTGCAGTCACTCCACCAATTAAATGCTTCTTTTGTTTTTAAGAATATAAACAAACCAATCTGAGTGAAGAAAAATATTTATTTTAGCATAGGAAGCCATTATCGGGAAGTGCTGAATAGCCGTTTCGTCCCAGCAAGGGACTCTTCAACACCCATGACCCCGAAACCTTCTGACTACTTCAGCGCAACTGGGATGATATATTCCGCGACTGACAGCCAACATCATCGTCGGGTATCAATCCTAACCGTCCATCTTGGTGGAACCTAATGGCAACTTCATCCTGCAGTCCGGCGCCACTAGTGAGCGAGCACTAGATTAATTTTCAAGTATTGATTGATTTCTTCTGTTAGAGAACTATTGAAAACCAGGGGCTACTGAACAGCTGCCTTTTTTGTCGAAGTTTACGACTTTTTAGCAGTACACACACACGCACACACCCATGACTCCACCGGCGGTCGAACCCAAGAACTTCAGATTACAAGGCAAGCTCACATACTATTGAGCCACTGCTACTGGGAGGCGGATCCAATTGTTCAACACTACTAATTTCTGAAGTTCTCGTAAGACATCATGAACAGTGGGGTGGTTCACTGATCTGGGTGTGAGTAACCACCACCAACCCAACCAGACAGTTCGTCATCAAACTTAAAATCTCGACAACCTTTATTTTTCAATGAATGAAATAGTTGCCATATTGAGTCATAAGAAACAAAACGTAAACAGCGAAGATTCATTTTCATAAGCTGCTGTACAATCGTATTTATATATTCAACAAAGAATTCATAAGACCAATCAATTAGATACTGGTAAGATTTGTCCTCGAAAAACGTGATGTAAGGTGTAACCTAGACGGGGTGACTAATTGGAAGTTAGAAAAGCGGGCAGAAGTTGGCATGACGTAATAAATCTGAGAAAATGACTAATCAGTATGATGAAATCCTCCATGCAATCAAACAAAATCCCTACAAAACCAATACTTGAAAATTAATCTGATGCTCACTAGCGACTGGCCCTACTCAGGCAGTTAACCTGGGGTTCTAGAGGGAAGCCTTGACCGGTAGGGTACAACAGGTGAAAATGAGGCAGTAACTCATTACAGAAGACATTGCGAAATGGTCGCGCTATGTCGTCAACTGGCAGAAGTTAGAATTCAAGAACTATTGGATCGGGTCCCAGTGGCTCAATGGTCTACGAGCTCGCCTTGCAACCAGAAGGTCCTGGGTTCGAACCATGGCGGTGTGTGTGCGTACTGATGAAGAGTCCCAAACCAGAACGAAACAGCTACCCAGTACTCCCAGGTTTTCCAATGGTTCTCTAACTGATGTCAGCTCATGATGAAATCCTCCATGCAATAAAAAAAAAATCCCTACAAAACCAATACTTTAAAATTGATGTATGATTGTGTAGAGTGGACAGGAACTAGTGGAAAGACGATAAAGTCTTTTTATAATATAAAATCTGTATTATTATCCTGTTATTCATTCTATAATAATACATGTATACTAAGCTATGAACTATATCACCTACATGTGTGAACTTAACAAAACTGACAAAAAATCAATAGAAATTCAATGTAGATTCCGTCACAGAGTGACATCAGTTAGACAGACTAAGGAGTACTGGAACAGGTGCTTTTTTGTTGGTATTAGATGGTTGGAGGCAATCGGCAGGAAGCCCTGACTGACCTAGGTTTCGTGCTTGTTGACACTCACCAGTCAAAGAGGCGTATCTGCAACCTTGAAGGAACTCATGTCCCTCCGGTGATTCGAACCCGCGTCACCCAGTGTTAGTGCTGCAGTCAGAGACGTTACCACTGAGCTATTCAGGCCCGCGATTGACCTCCTGTAGGACTGTATTGGATATTTTTTTGATTGGACACTAGTCAGTAACTAGTGTAATGTGTATGTGTCTAGTCCTATCTTTGGTGCAGACTGAATTCTATCAGCCAAGTTTGCAATGTCGCCACCATGCCACTAGGTGGCTCGCCATCACAATGTAATGTGAATTGTTGGTATTAGATGGTTGGAGGCAGAAAGCTTTGGACACTACCTAGGCTTCGTGAGGATTAGAGAGGTTTCACGTGCATTTCGGATTGTGAAGGCGCCAATCCATGAAATCCTTGACAGTTAAACTGAGTCAGGTAGGTAGGGAGATGCAGACTTCCGGGTTGGGGCCCACCCTCGGGACTCTAAGAATCAATCAATGGCTGGAGACAATAGGTGACATGGCTCAAAATCGTTGTCAATGGCTTACGTAGATGTATTCAGTCTCTGTAATCTTTCATATTCCTTTTTATCATTACGCATTCTGTTTCACTCTTATACTTGTTAAAACTATTGATTCTCTTCACTCATCTCCTTGTCTACCTTTGTGTGCTGATAGGAACGTGGCAACTGGAACTGCTGCACTTCGGTGCCAAGTTCTATGTTGAATCCAGACAGACAGACCTAGGTTTCCTGGTAGTTGGCACTTACCAGTTAGCAAGGCGTATCTGCAACATAAATGACGAGTGTCAACTAGCACGAAACCTATGTGGTGTCCAAGGCTTCCTAACGATTACCTCCAACCATCTAATACCAACAATTCACAGTACACCGTGATGGCGAGCCACCTAGTGGCATTGTGGCCACATTGCAAACTTGACTGATAGAATTCAGTCTGCACCAAAGATAGGACTAGACACAGTCACACATACATTACACTAGTTACTGACTAGTATCCAATCAAAAAGCTGCTTTCTGGTGCTAGTTTTACACACACCCTCTCTCTCTCCCCGTCTTTATCAATGCGTACTCACATTCATGGATCATTGAATCAAGTCCCAGAAGCTGAATGGCTTATGAGCAGTTCACCTTGTAACCAAGAGATTCTAGGTTCAAACCCTGGTGAGTAGTAGTACGTATTGCTGAAGAGTCCCGAACTAGGACGAAACAAGTGCTCTCCAGTAAGCACTGATTTCTCTGCCAACACTACTGATGTCAGTCAACAAATTAACACTTGACAAAATAAAATTTTAAAAAAAACAGTAAAAAGGTAGTAATTGACAACAACTTTTAAAAGGACTTACATCGTGAACAACAATCTTTTTAATGATACCACATTTAGCACATTGTACACGTAAACGTTCTTTTACAATTGGAATCAACGTAACATCCTTCTACAAATGGAAAAATAGTTTGTTTTTATCTTTAAATAGGGTTTGAAAATCTGCAAAAAGTATTTCGACAATGATAATTCGATTTTAGAGCAAGTATTGACTAACGGAGAACTCAGTGATGCTTGGCGTTTGAAGTGAAGACAGAATGGAGTAAGACACAGCTGGCTGCCTATTATCACCAATGATATTCTTAATTGTGGTGGACTGGATTTACACGGAAGACTGTGCGTTGGGAGTGAGAAGACAGGAACACATTGAACTGATCAATAAGAAGGTTCAAGAAGATCTGGGAGTTTGCGGACGATTTATGCCTCCAATATCACATAAATTCGAAGAATTATAGGCGAAAACCAACGGACTGGCAGAAGAGTCAAAGATGGAGAGGATGAAAATAACCAGCCAACAATAACAACAACGACAACAAACATTAATCACTATCAACGGAAAAAGTTTGGAAGAGGTTACTTCCTTCACACTTATCTGGGTAGAATCGTTTCAACTACAGGCACCACATTGGTTCTTAGAATCGCGAGAATCCCAACCAGACAGTTTTCACCACCCTAAGTGACTGGCACAAACTAACTGTTGAAGACTTGATGGGTTTGGTGATCAGTTTTGATCTGATCATCTCTATGCAACTCTCTCCGCCAACCCGATCATCCTATATCAAAATCAGCTAACATTGTTCGTCGAGTAAGGCGATGACTCAGCATGTGCACAACACGTGTCCTAACCATCTTAATCGATGTTACATCACAACCTTATCGATTGATATTCCCTCCTTAGTTAAATAAATACTCCACGCTTAACCTTGTGGTGAGAGCTGTCTACTAGCCAAATTGGTAGACAGTAATTTACGTCAATATTTACGTTCCCAAGATTTGCCGTGAGAAGCAACAAATTGGAAGACTGTGTTTGTTTACTTAAATATCCATAGTAATGTACATGAAAACATATATAAATATGCGTTGATTTCCTTAATAAATGATCTGTTGCCTGACTCTTGCCTTCTGTCGTTACAACCTTAATATGATACTACCAATCACCATCAACGGGAGAGATTTAACAGAGGTTACTTCCTTCACTCATCTAGGCATCCAACATCGTTTCAACTACAGGTAGCCGGAACGGATGAAGGTGTCAAAGCCGGCCAGCCAGCCAGAATCTGAAAGGCAAGATATACCTTCATCAACCTGAAACCAGTTTGGAAATCTGCTCTCACTTATCCAGCATAGAGAACAAGGTTCGGATTCTGTTCAACACAAATGTGAAGTCATTCAGTCAGTCAGTTCTTCTATACGGGTCAGAAACTGGACTAGCGTGTCACGAAAACGATTTCCAACAGCTTGTTGCAGTCTTTCATCAACAGCTTCCCCCTTAGCTGGCTCTATATTGAAGATTAAGTGGTCAGTAAGAAAGAATTAGCAACAAGAAACTGTGAGAACAAACCAATCAAGAGCCGATCGTTCAACAAATATGTAGAAGAAAGTGGAGATGGACCGGACATACGCCACTGAGGAGGCCGTCGAATGACATTACGTGCCAGCCATGTTATTGCTCGGGTGGAAGCCCACTGGGAGGTGACAAGTGAGTCGTTGGTGCGAGGGGGACATGAAGGCGGTCGTGCGAGGAGGAGGAGGAGATGAGAGATTATGGTTGATCGCGGACCCAGCGGAAAAGGACGACAGAAAATAGAAGTGAAGATGTGTTGTAGAAGCCTTATGTTCTACTCGGAACCCAAGGGATTAATAATAATATTATAATAAATAATAATAATAACACGGGAGATGCTTGAACACAATGTTTGAAATTCTTAAAAATAATATGTACATATAATAAAAACGTAGAATCTACTCTCACCTGAAAATCAGCTTCATTAAATGCATTTTTAAGGATTACAACGCGTTCTTTTTTACCACGTATAAATCGACTACTATCGATACCCCATCGGAAAAGGCTGGAATATAAGCATTTCACAAAAAGGGGAAAGATGATAGAAGTTAAATATTTGGAATAATATTTAATAGAGGTCAATAATTTGAAAGAGGTTACACTTCCTTCACTTATCTAGGTAGAATCGTGTCAACTAAAGTTTAGCGGCATGGATGAGGATGTCAAAACCAGCCAGAATTGGAAAGGTAAGGCACACCTTCATCACTATGAAACCAGTTTGGAAATCTTCTTCTCTCAGCCAGTATAAAGAACAAGATAAGGATTTTCAACACCAATGTTAAGTCAGTCAATTCAGTTCTTCTATATGAGTAACAAACTTGGCACCCACGTCACGAAAAGCATTTCCTACTTCATATTTTCATTAACAGCTGCCACCATCGCTGGCTCCATATTGAAGACCAAATGACCAGCCAGTCAGAAAGAATTAGCATCAAAAAACTACGGAAGAGAACAAACCAACACGCGATAACCTATTGCTCAACAAATATGCCGTGGGAAATGGAGATGAATCGGACACACTCTGAAGAGACCACGTCGAATGACATTGCGCACCAGGTACGCCTTCGTTCTAGTGGAACCCAAATGGGAAGTGAGGCGTAGTCTCGATGGTGACATGGAGGGTATCAAGACCATGGACAATCATGGGTGCAGCTGAAGAGGAGCGCATAGCATAGAGACGAACTGAAGATGTCCTGATGAAGCCCTATGTTCCACTCAGAACCCAAGGGAACAATAATAATGATAATAATAATTTAGAATAATATTTAATACAGCGCAATTTTAACACACCAGGAAGCTAGGCGGCTTGCCATCACAGTGCACTGTGAATTGTTGGTATTAGATGGTCAGTCGTGAGCCCGAATAGCTCAGTGGTAACGTCTCTGACTGCAGCACTAACTGGATGACGCAGGTTCAGATCACAGAAGGGACCTGAATTCCTTCAAGGTTGCAGATACGCCTTGCTGACTGACTGGTGAGTGCCAACTAACACGAAACCTAGGTAGTGTCCAAGGCTTCCTGTGGCCGATTGCCTCCAACCGTCTAATGCCAAACAACTATATAACTAGCTGTAATTTCTGATCTTATTACCTTTGGCCAATAGGAATAAATCTGTGTCTTTTGAGTTATTTATATTCTCAGTGTGGGGAAAGTGTTCAAATGTTGTGATCAGTCGCCATATTGTCCTGTGTTGAAGTATCACTTATATAATAAGCCTGAATATAGTGACATTGCGGCCACTGCATTATCACCATCATCAATACAGCACTCAACACCTTTGTCATTCCATTCATGGACTGATATGATAAAATTAATCTTCCAGACACCCATTCTTGTACACGATTTCGTAGTAATTCATGCTGATGCTAACACTAGCGTCAAGTCAGTCAGTCAGTGCTTCTATATGCTTCAAGGACTTTGTGTGTGTGTGTCACCGAAAGCATTTCCAACAGCCGTCTACAGATTTTTGTCAAAAACAGCTGTCCCCTTCGCCAGCTCTAAATTGAAGATCACACGACCAGTTAGAAAGGATTGGCAACAAGGAACTCTGGTAACGAGCCAACCTAGAATCCATCGCCCAACAAAAATGCTTAGGAAAATGGAAATGGATCGGATACACGCCACTGAAGAGACCATCGAATGACACCACGTGCCAGGTAAACTCTTGAATGGAACTTGAATGAGAAACGATGAGTTGGGCGGATGGCTGAAGGTGACATGGAGGAGATGAGGAGAGCGTATGGTCAGTTGTGGAGCCAGATAAAGAGCAATACAAGAAACAGGATGACATAGAGATGTACTGTTGAAGCCTCTGTGTTCCATGTGGAACCTAGGGGAATAATAATATGCCTGTGCTTATAGTTCACTTAACTACTTGCAATTCCATGCAGTTGGCAATGGGCTACATTTTGATTGGACACTAGTAACTAGTGTGACGTGTCTAGTCCTTTCTTTGGTGCAGACTGAATTCTATCATTCTGGTTTTTGCAATGTGGCCACCATTCTAGGTAGCTCACCATCACGGTGCACACTGATTTGATGATATTAGATAGTTGGAGGCAATCGGCAGGAAGCCTTACTTGACCTAGATTTCGTGCTGGTTGACACTCACCAGTCAAAGAGGTGTATCTGCAACCTTGAAGGAACTGATGTCTCTCCAGTGATTCGAACCCACGTCACCCAGTTAGTGCTGCAGTCAGAGACGTTACTACTGAGCTATTCAGGCTCGCGATTGACCTCCTGTAGGACTGTATTGGATATTTGTTTGATTGGACACTAGTAACTAGTGTGACGTGTCTAGTCCTTTCTTTGGTGCAGACTGAATTCCATCAGTCAGGTATTTGCAATGTGGCCACCATTCTAGGTAGCTCGCCATCACGGTACACGGGCTACATTATTTGTTTGACGGCTAGTAATACCACATGTGGTAGATGGAACGAGGGTCCAACGCCCTGATCTACTGGTTGAAAGTTGAGCCCCTAGATTAATGAGCCAAAGTTTCATCATTTGTATGGTAAGGCATACGACATATCATAAGCACACTAAAATGAACTTAAACGCTAACAGAGAAAGACGGTAAGAGGGAGAGAGAGAGAATTCTCAGCTACTGATATGAAATTATTGTTCATCGCATAGTTTAATATTAGTAAACCGATGAGCTAGCGACCTGTTAGTCCACATGGTTCGAATCCTGTCGTCTAAAATCAACTACATTTGGAAATCAATGTCTAACTAACTACAAGTAGACATGGCAGTATACGAAAGCAGATACACACATACACACAAATTAGATCAGACGTATGACGACTTTCATTCATAGGGTAATAGAGAAACAGTAATCAACAAGAGTGTTAATATGTAAGCATGGTGGCCCCATTCCATAATTCCCTAATAGAATACAGTTTGCAACGATACCGAGGACTAGACAAATGACATATCAGTCACGTACTACCTGGTGTCCAATCAAAGTATCCAATACAATCCTACAGGAGGTCAATCTTGAGTCCGAATCACTCAGTGGTGGTAACGTATCTGACGGCATCACTCACTAAGTGATCTGGACTCGACTTTCAGGAGGTACATGAGTTCCTTCAAGATTGCAACAGATACGACGCCTTGTTGACTAGTGAGTGAGTGAGTGTCAACAAGCACGAAACTTAGGTTAGGTGGGGCTTCCTGCTGATCGCCTCCGTACTATCTAACAATAAGAAGCTCTGTACTCATCAGAACAGTTTGTACTTGGAAAGTTATTCAACAACTAAATGCAATTCCACACAGTTGAGGTGGTAATGAGTCAAACCTATTGTGTGTGTGTGTGTGTAGGGGTGGGGGACAAGTGCTGCTACTACTACATAGTCGATACATGGATGATACCTTTTTGATTATGAAGAACGAAAAGGAGGCAAAGGACATCCTGGATAAATTTAATGTGGTACATCCTGCAATAAATTTTACTATTGAGAAAGAAAAAGACTCTAGTATTTCATTTCTAGACGTCCTTATGACCAGAAAAGAGGATGGCACAATAAGAAGAAGTGTTTATAGAAAACCTACATCAACGGGCCAGTACACACATTTTCTCAGCTTTGTGCCCTTGAAATACAAACGCAATCTAATAAAGTGCTTGGTCCACAGAGCAAGGGAGATTTGCTCGGATGAATGTCTTGACGAGGAGCTTAACAATATTAAACGGTTGCTAAGTGAGAATGGTTATCCCGAAAAGTTTATTGATAAGAATATGAATCTAAAACCAAAACAGTCCAAGTTACCAACAGTTCCAAAGAAAGCCTTTTTCCTACAGATGCAGTTCCTAGGAGACAACACAAGTGAGATACTAACATATCGCCTCAGAAATGCGGTAAAAAGAGCATTCCCTGCTGCTCAATTACGCTGTATTTTCAAAACCACTCCTCTACTGCGTTCGGGAATAAAAGACAAACTGCCTAATTTCGCCTCTTCCATGTGTATATACCAATTTAACTGCTCCTGTGGAGTGAGTCAGTTACATAGGCCGTACAATTAGGCGTGTTTCTCGTCGAATTTCCAAACATCACCCTGCCTGGTTAAGCAAAGGTCAAACAAAATCTATTCGCAGTGCTATTCTGGCGCATCTTGTGGAGACAGAACACAAGATTGACGTTAACCATGCTTTCAGGGTCATTTACCGCATACCTACTGAATCTCAATTTCGCTTTAAGAGTTCGACTACAAAATATTGATGAGGCTGTGGGGATTCATATTAATAAGCCTAATTTATGCACCCAAAAGAAGTTAGTTCAGTCATTATCCTTACCCGCTTGGCCATCCAGGTTTGAATAATCCAGAATTTTTGTGAAATTTCCCTAATTTTAGTTGATATTCTATTCGCTGTTATATCTTTATTATTAGTATTATAATTTAAGCATCTTTAATTAACTGTAATTCCATTGTGATCTTACCTAACAAATCGATATTATTTAAAAAAACGCTAATATTGTTATTGACTACTATTCTAGAATATTCTATGTATATAAACATATTTATATATAATTGTAGAGCCAGAGGAGGAGGAATTTATCGAAAAGAATATTCTTTGCTTGATTATTTTGTGTTTAACAGATGTCTGAATGAATACTTTTGCAATACTACCTAGTTGCCTACGCCTCGGTAGGCAGGGCAGGGTTCGAACCCGAAACCCACTCACTGGTTGGAAGTCAAGCGCGCTTAGACCAATGATCCACAGCTTAATATTACAAACACTAACAATGAGGCGTAGAAGGAATATTAGTTACGTAATAGTCATAAACAGGGCGTCCAAGGGTGACACCGAGGAGATCGTGTGTGAGGAGATGAGAGACTACGGTCAATCGTGGAGCCAGTTAAAAAAACAAAGACTGTAGAAAGGAGGATAAAATAGAGATGTGCTGCTGAAGCCCTATATTCTACTTGGAACCTAAAGGAATATATATATATATCTCATATATGTAATGTAGATAGACAAGCGTATACAAACACACACAGATCTTACTTTTCTTGTTGTTGTTTCAACTTTTTCTTCTCTTTCAGTGTTAGACGTCTTCGTTTCTTTGGATCAAATTCTCCTTTCGGCTGGAATTTAGCTCGTTCCACGTGTACAGTATAACCTGGTGCATACATCATACCATCGAGAATTTTCAAAGCCAGTTCCACAGATTCCACCTGATTTTTTACATGCATACGTAGATACATAAAAATGATGGAATTCATCAGCTACCTGGTACACAATAAATACTACTGTTATTATTATTATTACTATTACTGCTGTAGTTTTGGAATGCAATGCCTACACTTTAGATTACATAACATTTAAAAAAATATTTTCAAGCGTTGATATTTTCAGGGATTTCATTGGTTGCAGGTGACATCAGCTGTCATAGGACCATTGGAAAGCTATTAGGGAGTATGAGGCTATTCGATGAGAAGCGCACCCACCCACGGGGGGTTCGAACGCAGGACCTTCTGGGCACAAGCCGAACTCAAAGACCATTCTCATATACTGGTATGGAATTGGCAGAAGTTGGAATTCATGGGCTATTGGATAGGGTTCAAATGGCTGAATGGTTTACAGAATCGCCTTGCAGTCTGAAGGTTCTGGGCTTCATCTCCAGTAGGTTCATGGGTGCGTGTTGATGAAGAGTCCTAAACCACGACGAAACAGATGTCTAGTACTTCCTGATTTTCAACGTTTCTCTTACTTACTGACATCAATTCATGATAAGATTTGAAACAAATAGAATCCCTACAAACTAGCACTTGCAAATTAACTTTATATTACTAGTGATTTGAGTAAACAGTTTCCCAACAGTATCAAGAATCAATCTATCTACTCTATGCCGGAAAAGTACTTACGGAAACCTATCTCTTCTAACAGGAGATCCCTTGAATAATGCTGACCAGCAGTGGAATCCATGATGCTCATTTCGTCCTATTCGGGGCTCGTCAATGCATGTACTTGCATCTTATTGGTTGAGTGTCCTCACAGAGACTCGAACCTAGTACCCATCGTTTCAAACGCCAAAGTGTTATCCACTAGACCACTTGGTCACTGTGGAAACACCATTACTCCTCAATCACTAGAGATGCAAGTGTGCGCATCCAGGTGTGACGAGTCCCAAATAGGACGCGAAATGCGCATCGCAGATCCCATTGCTAGTCACCATCCACCAAACTACTTCAAGCTAATCAATCCTCAGACATCGTCAAAGCGTCCGTAGTAGGAGCTGATTAGTCAACATCTCCATCCAATCAATTAAAAGGGAAAAAACAAAATTGAATTTAAAACAAATGATCCTATGAATAATTTAAAGTACTCATGGGACATTTGTGCTATGTAAAGACCGTTGCTGTAAAACTAGTCTGAGTCAACACAGTTTGAGAATAAAGAGTGAAGTGGTTGAACACTAACTGACTTCACTTTTATAGTACCAATGATATATGCCCAAATATCTAATGGAGGTCGAATGTCCTGTACCTATCATCGAAAGCATCCAATTTTCGAAATGTCTCCAACTTACAACAGCCGTAAAATTAGACAGAGCTAAGTGCTGAACGGTACAGGCAGCCTCTGGTGGGGTTAGCCGAATATCATGTCTATGACATGAATGTGACAAATTAGCCTTTTTTCCAATCAATATTGAGATTCATTTCTTCAGCAACCAGGGAATTGGTCAGCACTTTAACTTGTTTCACTTTCAAACCCTAAAACTACCTGACAGTAAAGACTAATCCTATAGCATTACCATTTTACAGTAAAAAAGAAGGCAATGCTTCTACACACTTAAGACAATGAGCCACTTAATTGTATGAAACAAATAGGGAATTTTCTATGGAGTGACTGACTGGCTGGTTCCAGGATAGAACTTTGCACAGATGTGCAGCAGTTCGAGTTCCCAATCTCCCTCCATGAACCACACAAAGCAAGAGAAAGTAATAAGGGGTTCAACAAAAGAGAGATAATAAACAGAAGTATGAGTGAGGGAATAGAATAGTAATATGGAAGAACAATAGAGTCTTATTAGATATAACAAATCACAAAGAGTAGTGAATGCATCTGCACCAGCCATTGAGAACGAGGATTCCGAGCCATATCACCAACTGTCTCCAGTCGCCATTGGTTCTTATCATCTCGAGGACCCCAACCAGTCAGTCAGGAAGTCGACACTTCTCTACGTGACTGGCTTAAACTGACTGTTATGGATCTCGTTGACTGATGAAGCTATGTTTTGGATTGACCACTACAGGCTAACTCTTTTCCAACCTGATCAATCTTATGTCAACTGCTACGCTAAACATGGATAACATGTCCTAACCATCTCAATCGATTTAATTTCTTAACCTCGTCGATTGATTTCCCCTCCCACCTGCCTAGCACTCGACCGATGACTAACGTCAATATTACTCACACTATTATGCCATCTAACATGGGAGATAGAACGCAGACACCTATGATCAAAGACAACTAGCATTTTCATGTCTTCCACCTCCCAGCCAGAGTGGTTGCTCAATGGTCAACAAGACTGGTTTCTTAACCTGAAGTTCCAAGGATTCGATCCCTGGCGGGTGTAGTCGTGGATGGGCACTGTTGGAGAGTCCCAAAATGAGGAGAGACAGTTTTCCAATGCTCCCTGGTTTTCAATACTCTCTCCCTGATGTCGGTTCATGACAAAAATCTAACAAATGTCGGAATTTATCAGCAAGGTGTAATGTGAAAGAGTTAGAATATGAGTTTCTTATAGAATTATACCACAGAAATGATGTACGTGTTAACAATCACGACTTCTTATTGATTGAGTTGTGAAGTTACACCGTTTGAGAGATGGTTAGGATATACTTTACGCACATCTCACCTAGCCATCGCCTTCCTTGACGGGCGATGTTAGCAGCTGACATAGGATCATGATGGGAAAGAGCTAGTTGTGGTGGTCAAACGAAAACATGGCCTCATCAGTCACTGAGATCCATAACAGTTAGTTTAAGCCAGCCGGCCGGCCAACCACGTAGAGAAGTGTAGACTTCCTGACTGGTTGGGGTCCTCGAGATGGTAAGAACCAATGAAGGCTGGAGATAGTTGGTGATATGGCTCAAAATCGTGTCAATGGTTGGCTCAGATGCATTCACTACTCTTTGTGATTTGTCATATCCAATAAAACTCTATTGTTCTTCCATATTACTATTCTTTTTGCCTTACACTTCTGTTTATTATCTGTCTTTTGAATCTCTCTTTACTGTCTTCTCTTGGTTTGTGTGGTACATGGAGGAAGTGTGGGAACTCGAACTGCTGCACATCTGTGCAAAGTTCTATTTTGAAACCAGTCAGACCCCGGACATTTCTATGGTTAGGCATTAGCGATTATCGCTAAAATGCTTCTTGTGAGAATTTAGTTTATCCGGAGGAGATTTCTCATGTATCCAGGTATGATTTGATACTGTGGAGTGATGCTGATTGACAAATATGAGGCGGCCAACAGCTGAAATCAACAATTTAAGTCAATGGCTAGCTAGCTGCATAGATGTGTAGGAGCGTTTATTCCTCAAATCTAGCTCTAGTTGACGTTGTGGTCAGGAAATAATCTGATTGGACAATGTTTCCATCTCATGGTCTACCTTTAGGCCAATCGCCAGCCAACCAATCAGGACAATTTATATCATCCACTGGCTGACCTAGACGACTTTTAATGTGGTTTAAAAAAAAGTATAAATATGATGCGTTTTTCCTTAATAAAAACGTCCGTAACCAATTCTCTTACCCTTTACCGTTGCAATACTACTCTACCACTCCTACTCAGTTGACCAGGCTGAGGAAGGTGTGGTGAGATCCAAATTCATGACCGATTGTCGAAAAGTCGAAGACATTTAGGCCAAAGGTATAATAAATTAAAGTATCTGATGCTCACTAGCTACTAGCTCTATTCACGTAGGTAGTTACCCGGGGTTCTAGTGAGAAGTCGTGACCAGATGGGTCCACCAGCAGGTTGGGCGGATGTCACGGCATATTACGAACTGGCAGAAGTTGCAATTCATGGGTCACTAGATCCGGGGTCCCAGCAGCTTAATGGTCTACGAGCTCGCCTTGTAACCGGAAGGTCCTGAAGTTCAAATCCCACGGTATGAATGCGTGCAGATGAAGAGTTTCAAACTAGGACGAAACAACTGGCCGTCGAGTACTGCCGGCTGGTTTTCCAATGGTTCTCTCTAACCGATGTCAGTTCATGATGAAATCCTGTAACCAATCACAAATCAAATCCCCTTAAACTAACACTTGAATAAAGTATTATAGTACTACAGCAACAAAAAAGAGAAATGCCTAACAACTTACTTTAATGTAACAACATCGTCCATCACCTTTAGGCTTGCCATTTTGATCTTTGTATAATTTTAATCGAGGTACATCAGTGAATGGTTCATTCATGATAACACCACATTTAGACATGAGGGTTAAGAATTCATCATCAGTTATTGTTGGAGGTAATCCACTCACGTAGACGTGTGTATTCTTACTGTCATCTATCTTAAATATTACAACAAATAACAACAACAATAACAACAAAATAATCATGAATAACAAGAGAAGACTGTAAATGAACTTTGTTAGAGAGAAAGTTTAATTCAAAACAGAAGGGTAAAACAGTTATACAGTAGATTACTTTTCTAAAAAAAATCATATTGGCAAACTGTGTCGGTGGCACAGCGGTAGAATGCTCACCAACCACGCATGTAGTCTGGGGTTCGATCTCCGGCCGACTCAGTCCTTTACCCGACCGATAGCTGCTACCTTGACGTGGTGGTCGGGCTTGCATATCGTAATGACCCAACGAGCTACACTGGCTGGAACTTATGTTCCTGTAGGTCCTACCATGCCAGAAAGGTTGTTTGGATAGCGGTTAGAGAAAAAGCAGCTACCCAATCCAATACTATGATTCAAACAAATTCACAAAATATCATGCCGGATCGGTCGAGACCCAGATTAACAACGACTGCGCTTCCGCTGCTGTGTCACAGGGCAGAAGTGATAAATATGCTACTGAGACACACCAAACAAGAAAGAACAAACAAAAACAGGCCACGTGTAACCGGCCTCAAGCAGTTGTCCCCCGGGCTCTGCAGTCACGCAACACTAATCTTTTCTCTATTTCAGGTACCCGAAGACTCAACCAACTTCCACAGTGTGGGCAGCCGGGAGGTAACAACCACCCACACACTTCCAAAAGCACACGAAGGCTACCTGGGTAAACAGGTGAAGTTCAACAATAGCGTCCCAGGAGTGTGAACGCTCCAATTACCTTGAACCTTTTCACCTTTGCAACGAACACTCGCGTTGCACCAAGTGAAGGTAGTGAATGGAATTTAACTGGTAAAGGCTACGAACACGTGGCCACTTGACAGCATTTCGAAAGGAAGATCAAAGTCTACCCACCTCCAGACATACCAGTTAGTTCATTAGAGCTTTGGGACGACAAATAATCCTGTTAATTAGAATTCCTCATAGTGTAGCGAGAACAAGGTGGTTTTGAGCAAACAACGATTTTCGATAGCTTCTTCCTCAGGCTCTACAGTTATAAATCCATCAACATCAGAATACAAATAGCCAGTCAGTAAAGGCAAGTGAAAATTATATCAGAAACTGTCTGTATTGGGGTACATGTATAAGATGGAATGATAATCCGTTAGTTAATATTGTCAATTGAATTTATATAAAATGTACAGTGAATAGACAACTGGGTGACATACCAGCGTATTTATAGTTAACAGAATATAAGTTTCATTGGGAGGGAGGGGTAGTGAGTTATATTCAATAGTATGAGAGAAATATAATTACCACAAAATACATACAAACACATACCAACAAATGAGGAACATTGAATGTAAGTTCAAGCACAAGGGCTCACAGATATCAAGTGTAGTGATAAAATAAAGAGGTTAAATTGTGAACTGTAACAAAATACCAGAGATATGATAAGCTTAGTGTAAATCACGAAAGTTGACCTATAATAAGGATGATAACAATAGAGTGAAGTGAACTAGTAGGTGAAAAGGAATAAGAAACGCATAATATAACATGAAAATATGAAAATGATTGTGTCCGTGATGACCTTATAGTAGGCCAGGGTAAACAAAGAGGATGAATGTGCTTTTTTGGCACGCTAGAGAAAGAATTAAATTCCTCACGTGAAACCCTACTAGAGAACGGGTATCCCCAAGATTCGTCGAAAGAAAATGAAAGAAGAGCCTCCGCGCCAAAAATCAAACTATCTAGGAAAACTCTCTTCATGAACCTGAACTCAAAGGTGACATTGAGGCAAATTCTTAGAAACCCTTTCTAAATGTTTGAAGAAGACATTTCAAGCAGTTACCTTAGCATCACGTTCTCCACAACATTATCCAGTCTAACGTTAAGAATAAGATACACTTTTGGCCACCTCAATATTTATTTCTCAGTTTACCTTTCGTGGAGAAAGTTATCGGCCATACGTAACGTCAGTCCAAAACGTATTCTGAAACTGTGTAGCTTGGCTAGCCAGCCAGAGGAGAAAGATGAATAGCAGCAGCTCCATCCTCGAACCCTTGTCAACTCTGGACATCCAACACTCCCACATGAATGCTTCGCAGTGATACACAGAGTCCCTCAATATCGTACAAAGGCAATTCGAATACACCATCTGTACATGGCTGAATCATCGGCTATTGGGATCTGAAACCGGACCTCTGCATTCAAAAGCACTACAACATTGCTTGCCCTATCGGGTTAAAGTTCTTACTATAATCTTGCTTCTCTTTTTATTATGTAAGTTTACTACTATTATTATTGTTATTTTATTATCATTATTATTCTTATCATTCATATTTTATTATCCCTGTGTTACTGTTTATCAATAACATTGCGTTTTCATACAGATTTCACAAAAAAAAACTTTATCGTCTTTCCACTAGTTCCTGTCCATTCTACACAATCTTATTGATTAGTCATTTTCTCACATTTATTACGTCATGCCAACTTCTACCTCTTTTCTAACTTCCAATTAGTTACCCGTCCAGGTTATACCTTACATTATATAACACGTTTTTCGAGGACAAATTTTACTAGTATCTGATTGGTCTTATAATTTCTTTGTTAAATACAATTACGATTGTACAGCAGCTTAGGAAAATGAATCGTCGAAAAGAAAATTTTCTTCACTGTTTACGTCTGTTTCTCATGATATTTATTAATCTCTATAGCTTCAACTACAGCGAGGAGACGTAGTCGTGTGGCTTTAGGTGCAGATTGTTTGGTACACGATATAAAACCGTAAATGAATGACTCATCTATTTTGATGTGGTGACCATTATCCACTAGATGAGATAAAATGGCACTATTTATTGATTTGATTGTACTTTTTCCAAGCCAAACAGGAACATGTTCACGAGTGCGTAAAGATAAATTCCTCTGAGGAGCTTGACCCATGAACAGTTGAATTTGCATACACACACACTGATAATGTGGCCATCTTTGGTAATTTATCTTTAATGCATTGTGTCATTATCAGTCTGGTTGAGAAACTGATGTGTCGTTCGGCAGCATTGAAAAGTCCTCCAATTGATCTGATCAACCTACGGCTTAATGTATCACTGGATATTATCACCTTCGAACTGTACCCTCCCCCGAATAAAGCTTTTTCTTATTCACCGTGTCACGACGCTTAATTCTATCAGTTCTTTTACAAATATACTTCTTTACAAAATTGGTAGGATAACGATTTCATCTTCAATCCAAAACTCAGGACATATGCGCCTAATTGACATTTAATCGTATATTCTGAATGACTATATTTCATATACATTCAATTGACAATATTCGCCAAAGGACTATCATTCCGTCTTATATATGTACCCCATTATAGACAGTTTCTGATATAAACAAATGGTGAAATTAATGATCACGGATGCACACAATAGGATTAAAAAATACCAGCATATGATTAGATTCCATAAAGAAAAGGTTGAACAAACTCTTACGCCATAACATCTGTCAACATTGAATACTGCCATTAAAATATTATGCGAACGACACAAAGAACGAAGACGAGTCGCCCTCAAAGGAAAACTAGCCAAGATATCCAAACAACCATCTGAAGAAACTTTAAATGATTGCGTAGTAAATCTATCGAAACAACCATTATCGAAAGCAGAAGAACAACTTCTTCAGAAAGGACTCAACTACAATACTGGTGACGCTTCAGTAACAGATTTCTGTGCTTCCTTAGAATCATCACTCAAATTATCAAAATCAAATGAGGAAGTGCAACAAGAAGTACGTCAATGTATCATACCTATACACTCAAACAAAAAAGACATAATTCCCAACTTAGCACTGAGGAGCAAAATGCACTGAAGAAGCTAAAGAATAGAAAAGATATAGTTATTCTACCGACTGATAAAGGAAGAACAACAGTAATCCTGGACACAGAAGACTACATAAAGAAAGCAGAGGATTTACTCAAAGATAATGATGTATATCAACAGTTGACAAAAAAACCCTATACAAACATTAGATAATAAAATCAGAACAACGTTAAATAAACTAACGAAATCAGGACAAATTACAGAACAAGATCAATGGCGAATGAAATTTAACGGACCTATTTTACCCCGATTCTATGGTAGACCAAAACTACAGAAAAACAAAAATTCCCTTACGACTAGTCGTTTCGCTTCCAGGAACACCAACATATAATCTATCTAAAGAACTTTTCAGGAAATTAAATTACCTAACAGAATCATGCGACCATTCTATCAATTCATCAATCCAATTTTTAGAGAAAATCAAAAACATTCAAGTAGAAGACAATGAAATAATGGTGTCCTTTGATGATGTCACAGCATTATATACTTCAATTAGTCCAAAACTAGCAACAGAAACTATGCAACAATTACTCCATAGTGATGAAAACAATAAAAACGCAATTATCAACTTGGATAGAACTCATAAAATTATGCCTTACAACATACTTCCAGTTCAATACTCGAATATATATGAACAAATAAAAGGAACACCAATGGGATCGCCCATATCATCCAGTTGTCTATTCACTGTACATTTTATATACATTCAATTGACAATATTAACCAACGGACTATCATTCCATCTTATACATGTACCCCAATACAGACAGTTTCTGATATAATTTTTACTTGCCTTTACTGACTGGCTATTTGTATTCTGATGTTGATGGATTTATAACAACTGTAGAGCCTGAGGAAGAATTTACCGAAGCCACAATTGTTCGCTCAAAACCAGCTCGTTCGGACTACACTATGAGGATTTTTAATTTACAGGATTATTTGTCGCCACAGAGCCCCCATAAATGACCTGGTACTCCCTGGGGGGTGGGTAGACTTCGGTCTTCCTTTCGAAATCCTGTCAAGTGGTCACGTGTTCGTAGCCTTTACCTCTTAAATTCTATTCACTGCCTCGATGCAGTGCAGCGATGATGTTCCTTACAAAGGTGAAAAGGTGAATTCGAATATCTGGCGAGCTTACAGCCGAACTTGTGGACATGCATATCTACCTAGAGGAGATGGATAACCCTGATTCTAAACGTTTCAAGACAATTAACCATTACAATTTCGACTTCTAGGACAATATCTTTTTCACTGAGACAAACAGAACTTATTCCCCAGACATATATATACATATATCCCGGCCGACAACTGCTACCTTGTCGTGGTGGTCGGGCTTGAATACCGCAGTGACCCAACAAGCTAAACTGGCTGGGACTCATGTTCCTGCAGGTCCTACCATGTCAGGAAGGTTGTTTGGATAGCGGTTAGACTAAAAGCAGTTACCATGGGGTACATGGGCTCCAGAATCCAGTCGGATCAAATGGCGTACGAACCTATATTGGTCACCGGCAACCATGGGAATGCAGCTCCTGACGCTGCTCCGCTGCCTTGCGGATTAGACTTCAAGTCAAAGGCTCGGGGGGGTCCCTTAAAAAAACCACCTGTTTCGGTCTGGGCGCCCAGGCAGTATCTCAGCCCTCACACAATAAATGAAATGAAGCAAAAAACTATCAGTGAAACTTATCGCGCACTCGTAACAATGCTTTCAAGCAATAATGATGTCTCAAGTAACTTATGTGTTCCCAACTTTACTTTTATTTTTATACATAGACTCCTGTATTTTACCTTTGCTAACCTTGACTTCTTCACCTTCGACAGCCTTTCGCCTTTGTTTGGATTCCCAGCCTATCTGTGCCGTTTCGAGATGTTAGTGAGTAGCCTTCATAGCCCGAATCGATGGCTCGAAACGTTATCAGATATGGCCGAGAATCGTAATCAATGGCGAACGTGTTGCAATTTCCTTCTTTCTTCCCTTTCCGACAATAACTGACGAATGATTTTTGAACTTGCTACAAATGACTGTTTTCCTTCCAGATGAAGTTCTCTATCCGTCCTCTACTTATATTTTTTTTACTTTTGATCTATGTTGTTTTATTATTATTATTGTGTGGCGCATCTTTCTTGGTGCCATATTGTACCAAGTTTTTTATGCGTTTTAAATAAAAATAAATTATATGTATATATATATATATATACAAAGAGAATGACTCACTTCATACCAGGCAGGTGGAGGAGCTATCGGTTTTCTTTTGCGTTGATTCGATTGACTATCAACATCCTCTTGAGCAGTACTGACGTCATCATTAGATGATGATATATGTTCTTCGCCACTCACTTCATTATTATGATGATTATTATCATCATCTGTTTTAACAGGTTGGACACCAGACAGTAATTCTGCTTCAGCTCGAGCCAATGCTACATCTGGATCATCGCCTTCATCCAAAAATTTATTCAGCATACGTTCAGATGGTTTTAATTCATACTTGGCTTTATTTGCAGCCAATGTTTTCTGCAACTGGTCAGATTTAGAACATTCCATGGTTGGATGATTATTATTATTATTATGGGCTGAACAACATCTTTCTGTTGTTTACAATAATTTTCATACCATTCACGGTAGGCAGGAGAATTATAATAGGCAGTTAATGATTCATTGGCAGCTTTCATCAACTGTTGGACTTCTTCACAATCATCGCCTTTATCAGCTCTAAGTTGAGCTAATTGTGCATTGAATGTTGTCCAGTCTACGGGAGTGTTTGCATTCTGTTCAGGAGTAGTAGTTGTTGTTGTTGTATTATCAGAAGATTCACACTGATTATTTGTATTCACACCGTAACTCATTTGATATCGTGCAATGAAATCGTCATCAATCTATATTAGAAATTTATGGGGAAAAAAATAAATAAAGTTATGCATTATTATTATTGTTTCTTTTAGTTCTTAGAGGAACATAGGGCTTCAGCTGCACGTCTCCAGTGCGTTCAGTTCTCTGCTAAGGTTTTCACCTGGCTTCACTTCTGCCCACGTGCTTTCATCACCTCTTCACATGACCTCCTCCTCCATGTCACCCTTGCACTGACCACCAACTCGCCGCTTCCCTTTTGGGTTCCCCTCGAGCAATGGCCTGACATGTGATGTCATTCACTTGATGGTTTTTTCAGAGTATGGCCAATCCACCTCCATTTCTTCCTGCGTATTTGTTGCACAATCGGTTCCTGTTGATCTTTTCTGGCCGGCCATCTGATCTTGAGTATTGAGCGAAGACAGCTAGTTGATGAAGGTCTGTAGTTTGTTTGAGGTGCTCTTCATGACGAACCGGATAGTAGCACTGACTGAATTCGCATTGCAGTTGAAAATCCGGATCTTATTTTTCATGCTGAGTGTTTGACCTCCATACAGACTTCAGATAAATGAAAGCTTGTCTTGCTTTCCCGATCCTCGCTGCTTTGATATCCTCGTCAGTTCCGTCCGCCCGTAGTTGAGACGATGCTTCCCAGGTAGGTAAAGGAGGTTGTTTCTTTCAGGTTCCTCCCATTTATGCTGATTGTTGTCTGTTGTTGTTGCTGTTGGTGTTGCCCAGGAATCTTCATCACCTACTTCTGTTTTCTCTATGTTCACCTGAGGAAGTCCTATCTTTGATGCTTCTTCTGCCAACTTGTTGCTTTTCACCACTTGCGTATCTTCCAGTTTGTGGGAAATCAGACATATATCATCGGCGAAGTCCAAATCCTCCAAGAAATAAAGTTATAACATGAAACTAAAAGATGTTGGGTTGATGTTCTCAGTATTCGAATGGTCTACGACGTCGCCTTGCTGCTTGTAACCCGAAAGTCCTGGGTTCAAGAACCCACGCATGTGGGTGAGTACTGGCGATGAGCCCCTGGTTTTCACCGGTTCTCTAAATGATATCAATCCTCGGGTCAAACTTGAAACAAATCGAATCCCTTATAAAATAACTCTTGGTAACTAAAAGAATATAATGGTGTGGTAGTCTAAACAGTGGTTTGTCTTTCATGTTAGAAAGGTAGCCAATACACTATGTCAGATGGAAAAAACACAAACATGTGAATAAATGAAACACAACTAACAAGTAATGGATGAAAGTGAACCAATTGAAACGGCTAAGACACGTGTTACACATGCTGAACTATCGCCTTTCTTGAGGGACAATGTTAGTCGATACAGATAGGATTAGGTTGGAAAAGATTTAGGGATGGTCAAACCATAAAATTAGCATCTGTGCAGGAAGTCTTTAACAATTGGTTTGAGCCAGCCACATAGGGAGGCGTAGACCTCTTTGGTTGGGTTCCACAGGATACTAATAACCAATGGCTTGAGACTATTGGTGATGTGGTTCAAAATTGTTCTTCTCAATGGCGCAGATATATTCACTCTCTATGATCTCTCATATTCACTAAGGGGTTACATCTTACCCATCTCACTCACATACCTGCTTATTATAGTTCTTTTGAATCCTTTTTTCTCTCTCTGTCTCTTCTTCACCTTTGTGTGCTCTACATGGAGTGTTGCAACTTGAACTGCTATACTTTTGTGCGAAGTTCTATGTTGAATGAAACTCAGTCATGTATATATGTATGCAACACTTGACACTGATGTACTCTTTTTGTGTTAATAATCCAACCTGGATTCACAAACTTTAATAGGAAAAGAAGAAGCAGTGTTCTGACCAACGACACACTATTTGATAACTAAGTGCTCACACTCACAACATAGAACTTTGCACAGATGTGCAGCAGTTCGAGTTCCCAATCTCCCTCCATGTACCACACAAAGCAAGACAGTAGAGTGAAGAGAGATTCAAAAGTGTGAGGGAAAATGAATGGTAAAATGGAAAAACAGTAGTCGTATTGGGTATGATAAATCACAAGGAATGAATGCATCTGCGCCAGCTATTGAAAACGACGATTTTGAACCATATCACCAATTGTCTCCAGCCTTTACTGGTTCTAACCATCCCACCGACACCAACCAGTCAGTCAGGGAGTCTACGCCTCTCTACGTAGCTGGCTGGCTCTAACTAACTGTTATGGATTTGATTGACTGATGAAGCCATCTTTTGGATTTACCACCACAACTAGCTCTTTTCCAACCTGATCAATCCTATGTCAGCTAACATTTCACGTCGTCGAGGAAGGCAATCGATGGCTAGGCTAGACATGCGTAACACATGTCCTAACCATCTCAATCGATGTAATTTCACAACCTCGTCGATTGATTTTCCCTCCAACTCACCTAGCACTCGATCGAAGCTTAACCTCATTATTGCTCACCTAATTACACCACTTAACACGGGAGATAGAACGCAGACACCTATGATCAAAGACAGCTAGCCAACCTTTTCATGTCTTCCACTTCCAATGGCCATGTCTCACTCACAAAGATAAAGGATAACGGAGCGAACTGCTGAGCAGTAAACACGCCCTTTGGTCAACAGCCAACTGGATATCACGTCCACTAAGCCAGAGATGGTGTCAGTTGGCTGACAAATGACACACCAACCTTTTGTATCCATGCTGAGATTTTTTCAGTGATCAACCCGCTGGAGCTGGCTGATGCAACATACCAAATAAGTGAAGTGGTCAACATGCTTTACCAATTTAAGCTAAGAGTCAATGTAGTTAAGTCCTGTAGCATCATCACATATTTGACAGGAATGAATCGCATGGCAAAACCAAAAAGTTACACATATACTATGCATCATTAACTAAAGACAATTGTTTCGTTAGATAGTAAAGTAAACTAAGGAGAATGACAACTAAATATACTGACTTTTATTCACTAGAAACACGGACACGATTTCTGTTAAGCTGACATTTCATTAAAACTACAAGGTATCAAGGACCAGCAGTGGTCAAACCTACAAACCGAACAACTTTCACACTATGCTCTTGAACAAGTCTGCTATTTGTAGGCATAAAACTACATTCAATTAGATCAAACTTCATTCCTTAAATATGCAGCAAATCGATATAAGCAGGGCAAATTCTGAGCTTCTATTCCTATGATTATAAACCTATAAACTATTAATAAACGACAATAAGAAATTAAATGTTGGCTCTGTCTAGCATAAGGCTGCAACAATCACCTGTAAAATCACATGTTACTACATGAACAATACCCTTGAAGAAAAAACATGATAAGTATACACTAGTTCTTTGTATATTTTTAGATTATGCAAAGGAACTAGTACATGAATAAACAAGGACATTTTTAGCAAAATACACTATTTTTACGATGAGAAACATCTACTGCTGAATGGATATCTTTTGAAAATAAGAATGAGATTTTTTTTAAGAGGCAAGATGAGCCAACATATATATATATATATATGTTGGCCTATAGGGTTATATAAACAGTCAAAGTTGAATTAGTTATTCAATTGGAGAGTCTAGCAGTTTTTTTAAAAAAGAAAGCTTGATGATATAGAGTATTAAACAAGCAGGCGAAAAATAACAGTAAATGATCCTTCAACGATAACACAAGAATTAGAAAGGGTTTAACTAAGTGTATCAACGCTAGTTAATGAGGTCATCACTTTATCAATGAAATGCATGCTTTACATACAGATGAATAACGTTTCACTACATCCAGAATATTAGCTGAGAGGTTACACTCAAAAAAGGCCTGTGATAACCAAATTAAATGACGAAACTTATTCACGTTCAGTTGCTAATTATTGGTTACAATCACAGACTATGTCACCTAAATGTTGAAGATATCGGATACCAATTGAACACAGTCTACAAACTGCTTTGCGCAAAATCACACAAAAATTTATCCACTTCTCCTCTTTTTCAATTGACTGACACAATAACGTAGAACTCTGCTTAGAAATTTATCAGTTGAAGATCTGTCTGTCTGTTTTCGACATAGAACTTTGCACCGATGGGCAGCAGTTCAAGTCGCCACACTCCCGTGTAGCACACAAAGCAAGAGAAGAAAGTAAAAAGAAATGCATGAAAGAGACAGTAAACAGAGGTGTGAGACAAAGGAATAGTAATAACGAAGAACAATATAGTTTCATTGGAAATCATAAGTCACAAGGAGTGGATGCATCTGCGCCACTGAGAACGATTTTGAGCCATATCACCAATTGTTTCCAGCCATTGGTTTTTACCGTCCCGAGGACCCCAACCAGATTGACAGTTTACACCTTCCTACGTGACTGGCTTAAACTAACTGTTGTAGATTTCATTGACTGGTGCCATGTTTTGGTTTGACCGCCGTTAGCTCTTTTCCAGCCTGACCCTATATCAGCTAACATTGCCCATTGTCGAGGAAGGCGATGACTAGGCATACGTAACACATGTCTTAACCATCTCAGTCGATGTAATTTCACAGTCTCGTCGAATGATTTTCCCTCCCACCTACCTAGCACTCGACGCCTAACCTCAATATTGCTCACCTTATTATGCCACTTCACACGGGAGATAGAACGCAGGCACCTATGATCAAAGACAGCTAATCTTTTCATGTCTTCCACTCTCAATGGCCAGGTCTCACAGCCATAAAGGAGGACGGAGCGGACTGATGAGCAGTACACACGCCCTTTGGTCCATAGTCGGATATCACGTCTACGCCAGAGACGGCGTAAACTGGCATATGCGAAACTAGCCCTCTGTATCCGTGCTGAGATTTCGTCAGAGATCAACCCGTTGGGGCTGATGGTACTTCCCAAGTAAGTGAAGTGGTCAACGTGCCCTACCACTTCACTTCCTATTTCTAATCTAGGAGTCGGTGTAGTCCAAGTCAGTTGAAGATGCCATGCTTAGGAAATGTACATGTAAAAGTTGAGGAAAGAAATGTAATAAATGCCTGACCACTGATTCTCAGCATGTCAAAGACCCCAGTCAGGGCATCTTCTTTTCTCTACTAAACACAGACCATCAGTCAATGGCTTCATAGATTAGTATCAAATGTTTTCATCTGACGACTCCTTAGCTTCTGTCGAACCCATTATCGAATCAGTTAACATTCATTGTTACAGATCACAATGCATTAGCATTCATGACACATGTCCCACTCACCCCCAATTGATAGAGCTTTACAACCCAAACAATTAACTTTCTACAATTACCCGGCAAATGTTCAGCTGTATTGTTAATTGAAATATAGCTTTAGTTGAGTGGACACACCTATAATTAAAAACTTATAATTTTAAACCTTCAAATTTCGGAGGTCATGTTAAAAAGCCATTGGTGGAATAATTACAAAAATAACTGATACACAGCAAATATGGTCCTTAATGGGTGGCCGAATATCACGCCTACACCAAAAATGACAAAAGGCGAGTGTTGTCTTCAGGTGATGAAATATGACAAGAACTCAGTGAGTCTATATTCTCAAACCATAAAAATTGAAGATTTCATCAACCCAACACCACCAAGTCCGGATACCTGTTCTATATTTGCACATGTGGAACTGAACGAAATTGTCGATATGTAAAAAAAAATTAACAAGTCGGAGCGTGAAATGAATTTTATCACAAACTTTGGCAACTTGTGCAAGTCAAAAGGCTGCTGCTTATTTTCCATGATAAACTTTCCAGATTCATCACTTTACTCGCAAATAAGTGACATTACAAAATAGTCTAAAAAGAACAGTAAATTTCGGAAGAAGTTGTAAAATCTAGTCTATTTTTCATGAATTTCATGCAGACAATTTCAAGAAAAAAACAGGGATATATGAGGACACATTTCCTGATACTAAGCGCACCCTAGATTCTTACAGTACTTTGTACGAAAATGTCATAGTGAACCCAAGGCCTTAAGTAAGTGATCACATCAAAGTAAGGAAAATAAGTATGTTCCACCTACTTTAGGAAACCAGGCTTTCCGTTTCTCATCCCACTCCATAACCGTTCCATCTGGGTCCACTCTTGTTTTCACCTCAACACTAACATGGGTAGTATTTTGAAGCTTGATCTGTTCTTCAAATTCGCGTAAGTCATCACAGGTAGACATTTAGGAGCTTTCGCAGACCTTATGACCTTGGCTACACGCCACGCTTCAATATCCAATGTTCAGATTCAGATTCAGATTTATTGGTTGAGGATAGAAGGCTTGGAGCCTAAGTTAATCCTTTTCTAGTAAATTTCTATGACATTCTAAACCCTTCTTGAATGAATTAGTTGACACCCAGACACCTTTTCTGGGAGTCGGTTCCAAAAGTTTATGACTCGGTGTGAGGACCAGTACTCAGATTCAGATTCAGATTATAAGGATAGAAGGCTCTTGTTGCCTATGTTAATCCTCGCGATATATATCCCTGCAGAGATCCAGTTGCTCTTTGAAAGCGTTCGCCGATGGAGCTGTTACTACTGAATCAGGTAAGGAGTTCCAGTTGTTGACCACTCTGTGAGAGAATCTAAACTCCAAACGTATTTTATTCGACCGCGGTTTGAGCACCTTCTTCTGGTGACCCCGTAAATTTATCCTAGAGGGAGAGAAAAGGTTTGAAAGGTCAATCCCTAAATCACCCTTGAATATATGGTAAGCCAAAATTAAGTCGCCTCTCCTACCTCAGTATGATGATGGGAAGAGATTTAAATGCTCCATTCTCTTATCATAAGGAAGGTGTGAGATACCACTAACTAATTTGGTTACTACCCTCTGTACTCTTTCCAGGATATGTGCCTCCTTTTTGAAGCATGGACTCGCCGCTTGTATGAAATACTCTAGATGAGGCCGGATATATGTTGCATAGAGTACTTGGAACATACCCTCGTCTAATCGTTTGAAAGATCTTCGAAGTGCCCATAGCATTCGAAAAGCCTTAGCTGAGGCTCAATTACAGTTTGCCGTTGTTTTTAAGTCATGGCTAACAATAATTCCTAAGTCCTTTTGTTCCCTAACATCTGGTAGTTCTGTGTCCCCCATGGAGTACGACGTGTAAGATTTCTGACCTAGGTGCATTACCACGCTTTTCTTGGAATTAATTTCCAGACTCCAAAGGTTAGCCCATTCGGCTAATTTATCTAGATTGTTTTGTAGTACCAACCTATCATCGCTACTATTTACGGTTTTCCATATCTTAATATCGTCCGCAAATAGTAAGGAAGATGAGGTAAGAATTTTTGGCACTTCATTTACGTATAATAAGAATAGCAGGGGGCCAAGTACCGTTCCCTGAGGTACTCCACTTAGTACTGCTTTGCATCCTGACAGTACACCATTAACCCTTACCTTCTGCCTCCTATTATTATTTTATTTTTATTTTGGTCACTAAACCACTCGCATAAGCGTTGGTCTAATCCAAAATGTTTAAGTTTACTAAGAAGACCTAAGTGGGATACCTTATGGAATGCTTTACTAAGATCGACAAATACAACGTCCAGTAGATGTTTTTTATCCCTGGCCTCGACCCAATCTTCCCTAGCTAACAGTAAGTTTGTCAAGCAGGATCGTCCTGGTCGGAATCCATGCTGTTCCACTGCCAGTAAGCCATGTGCGTCGGTGGCACAGTGGTTAGGACTCTCGCCGACCATGCACATGGTCCGGGGTTCGATCCCCTGCCGATGCACACCCGATATCTATGGTCGGCCTGAAATTTGGGCTACCGATATCCATGCTGAAAATTCCATACTTGTACTGAAAATACGGTGTGGAATCAAGCTGCAATCAAAAATAAATAAACAAATAAAAAGTATGAGCTAAGAGCTGGTCCCTTATGAGTTTTTCTAACACCTTTGCTATAATGCAGGTCAGACTTACAGGCCGGTAGTTAGATACTAACTGCCTGTTCCCATCTTTGAAGATAGGGCTTATAAAAGCATCTTTCCAGTCTCTGAGTAACCTAGCCTGGGTCAGAGACATCTGAAAAATCTCCGGAAGTGGAATGTATATTATATCCGCCAGGGAGCTTAGCAATCTAGGGTGAAGTCCGTCTGGTCCAGGTGATTTACCTGGCTTCAACTTAGACAGTAGTTTCAGAACCATTGCGTCATCTAACACAATTGGGGGCATTTTAGGGGCTACACCAGTTACCTCGCTACACCCCTGGGTGGTACGATTAGGCGAAAAAACATCACAGAAATATTCGGAGAGCTCCTCAGCTTTTGTTTCGTCTGATTCTGCAACCTCTCCTTTGTTGCTAATGAGGGACGGTATGCCTCTACTAGTTTTAGTCCTGCGTTTGATATACGAGAACAGTCTTTTTGGATAATGCACACAATCCAGTACTAACTGTCTCTCATACTCTATACCACTTTTGTCAATCTCATACTTGCAAAGGTTTCGAACTTTGCGGTATTCTACCCGAAACTCATCCCTCCCAGTCACAGCAAACCGGTCCCATAAGTTCTTTCATTTTCTTAGTAACCTCCTTATTTCATTACTAATCCAAGGTGGTTTCTGAGATAATTTTCGAGGCGTAGACCAAAGTATAAAGGGTGCAGTGACGCACTCTAGTGTATTCCTAAATCCCATCCAAGCCTCCTCGACAGTCTGGTGTGTGTTAACAGACCAGTCAGCTAGGGTTGCTGCATTTCGGATTGCAGGTATATTCGCTTTCCAAACGTTTTGGCGAGCGGCTGTTGACCTATGTATGACGGCCTGGATCCTGAACATAAAAGTAATAACTATGTGGTCACTACTGCCTAGCGGCGCCAGGCACCTAATGTTACGAACACCCCCCTTCTGGTGTGTTAGCACCAAGTTGAGAGTGGACGGATCATGTTCAGGATGGTATCGTGTTGGTGCATCCATATACTGCACAAGTGCACATTCAAGTACTGCCAGTATTAGCTCCCTATTGAAACAATTGTACGAAGTAGCTGATGTTAATTCCTCCCAATTAATATGCAGGGCATTAAAATCACCTACTACTAGAAAACCTGTTCTTTCTACTCCACGTCCTGAGGTGATTTATAACGAAATTGTCAGCTTGGCCGGTAAGACTTCTATAAATAACCCCTATCGTTACAGTGCCTTTGTTCAAGTTAATGACACAACCTGCGGCTTCACAGGTGCCACTGTCATGAGCTTCCGATAACGTCGACCTAATTCCTATGTCATCTCGAATGTATAGAGCGACCCTCCCTACTTACTCTGTCTGCTCTAATGCAGATGTACCCAGGTATGAGTGGAGTTAAGTCTTAACCAATTAACAACCATGTTTTGGTGATAGCAATCACATCCGGCTGTAGTTCTTCAGTCAACACTCCTAGTTCGGGAAGATTATTCCTAAGACTACAAGCGTTCGTGTAGCATACTGAGAGACCTATGTGTTCACTCGCCTTATGAACAGCAATATGATTTCTTCTTGGCTTTTGAACTCTCCTGCTATGTCCTCTAAGGCGTTACGACTTGGTGGGAAGGAAAAGGGAGAATAGGTCAGGTCCGTAGTCATTATTTACAATTTTAAACCTAGTGATTAAATCTCCTCTCTGTCTACGGTATGACAGGGAGAAGACATTTAAACTGTCTAGTCTTTCCTCGTATCATAAGTTAGTCATGCCCAGAATCATACGTGTTGCTTACCCTTTCCAGAATGCGTTCGTGTGCTCGTCGTATTAACCAACTGGTATTTGTACTCATAACTCAGCGTCAAAGACGGTCCAAGTATTAAATCTATCACTACTACTCAAATTAAATTGCTCGACCGAACAAAACCGTTATATATTTTTGCGTCAGTGATTTGGTCTACTGCTCAGAATTATTTAAGAGAGATGTGGAAACGTCAATGAAAACTAGAGTTCGGTGGAAAAAACCAAACACAAAAATGAATCGAACAGTAGGCGATCAAACTAAGGTGCAGTTCATGAGAGCAGACAATCACATGACATTACTAAACACATTAGAACTGCTTCTATCCTTTAGTTTACACGCTTGTCTCAACAAATATTCCTAGTTGACTCCGTACTTTGCAGTCACTGAGGCTACATTCTAAGAATTCTACCATCGAAAGGAAAACTCAGCCAGCCTACAGTACTCTGTTAGTTATCAATGAGAATTTAGGAGAAAAGTGACTGCACTCATGAAATTTCTTGTGGTGTGTCCATGGAAACTGAATTAAACCAGTATTTCATCGACCGCAACGTTCTTAAGGAAACTAAATAAGAGTGCGAACTCTGTGCATCCCCAGCAATTGTCACCATAGTTGACTCTGCGTTAGGTTTTACACAACTCCCCTTATTGTCAAATAGATGTGAAACCCCACTATCTGCCCATGGAGTTGGATGTTACCTTCAGCTCTAGAAACAGCAATTCTCAGAGACCATGTGCAAGCATTTGTAAACCTCTTATCTCGTACTGAGTATTCCCCACTCAAAATCTGGTTTGATGTACTACTCAATATATATTACATTCAAACATGTAACATAGTTTGTCCTGATATGTCTATGCCAATCTTCCATCCTTTTTGCAGCCCAGATTTCAACTCAACCGGATGAAGCCATCCTCAAAGTGGCCTGAAGTTCCACGGAGGAGACAAAACCCATGGAAACTTGGGCACTGTGGTAGTAAGTAATTCCAAATTAGTTTATTTATTAGATATATCACACAGTGAAACAGCATTATTTTCTGGATGACGTTTCGAACAAAATTTATTGTTCATAATCATATCAGTTGTAATCACACGACTTTGAGACTTGAGACTCAAGTCATCCAGTAAATAATACTGTTTCACTGTGTGATATATCTAATAAACAAACTAATATGAAAACCCACGGAAAACGACTAACTTAGGTAAAAAATCTGTTAGAATTCTAACATTACACTTTGACAACTATAAGTTTAGCGCTGACTGTAGTATATTACCGTACGATTCTATTTAATTATGACAAATCTTGAACAACGGTTAGTGAGTTAAGTCAAATCCTACCTCTTTATCTGGTCTCCACACGGACCGATTCACTTAGCCAAAACTAATTTACGTAGTACGTGTGTATAATGCGTTATTACTTTGTTTTATTTTATTCCTTTGCATTTCAGGAGGAACACGGACTCCAAGCGTAAGCCTTGAAGTTTCGGTAGCAGGGATGCTTGTTTTTACGGTGTGAGGTTTCCAACCTTA